AAACAACACGGCAAAGAAAACACACTTTAATAGAGCAGTTTCTGCTCACTTGTAAGGCTACTAGGCTACTCTTAGCTTAGCTTGAGGCTACGCTACTTTTAGCTTAGCTTGCAGTCATCGAACGTATTCTTACCGCTATCGTGGGATTGTGCTCCCGTCTCCTCTTCTTTGAGTCGGTTCCTCTCCTCCATGGACAGAAACCTGCAGAGTCCCGAACGCTCCAGTGGAGCGAACCGCTCGTTGATATCGGCAGTTTGTTGTTGGAGTTGACGAGACGATCCACTTAGAGCATTCAGCAGCTTCTTCTCGTCTGTCTGCGGACTGGCCGAAAGTTGGTGACCGCGGAGAGGAGTTGAAGGCGAGTTGAACGCGAGACGTTGTCCAGCCATTATTCACGAACCAGCAAAAACCAAACAAAGGAACTGGAGATACAGTTCTTCTGAATATAGTGTCTGTTTGTATACTCGTCTTGCAAGTACTGCTGTCTGAGTCATGCCTATGACCTCACACGTGATTGGACGAGGAGTCTAAGGGTCCTCCAATCACATACAAGGTTATTGTTATACGGAAGGACCAGTATTTTAGGAAGACAAATGGTTGGGACTTTGAAACAGCTGATATGCTTTATGTAAAGCAGTGTTTTGGTGTCAGCAGAACGACTTTCCCTAGAAAACTGTACAGTGGTGCCTCTTTCTCCATTCCACCAGACAATCTTGAGTCTGACAGACATGCAATGTTGACAATGTATCATCACATGTACCCTTGTGTCACTGAGGTTGAATGTTTTGCCGTGACATGTAAACGGGTAACATATATGAATGTAACTTACTCAATCGATAGATGCAGAGCAGAAAGGTCAGCATATGTTCATGCTAAGTGGTGTGAAAACACTAACAGTTTTGAGGAACCCGTCCTTGACCCTCTAGCAGAACTACGACCAGCCATTATAAAGCAGTTTATAGTTGTTAATGTTGTGTCAAAGGGTACGGCATTTAAACATGTTCTTGCACAAGTTTCCTGGCTTCATCTCCACCCGGACAGACATTTTTATGGAAAGCCAATAGAAGTTTGGGGCTTGGAGGGAACAGACACGTCATACCCAGCATCATTTCTGCCAGTTGAGCGCATCGCTAGAAGATGTGTGGTTAATACATCCTCTGTGCATTTAAGCAAGACCAAAGAAAAGGTCACTGTAGTCCTGCTACTATGCACTGTAGTTGAGCTCTATGATCTCTATGATCTCTATGAGACTGTGATCTCTGCAGACCCCTCATGCTGATTCAAATCTTGTTTGCATGGTATGCTCATTTTACCTTGATTGAAACTAATTTTTTATAGAAGTTATTTTGTGTATCTTTTTTACATAACATTTGCCATTGCTAATGGCGTACACAGTAATCTAGCATATTTGAATTAAATAAATCAATTCAAGCTCAAATCTAAGAGTCTATAATTAGGCTACTGAGCCTGATCTATTTGTACCAGAGATTTTCTTACCTTTTAAAAAAATGTCACCTGGGCTAAAACTCCCTCTGCGACCCTGATTTGCGTTTGTATAGCTCACAGCATTTTCATTTACATGTCAAAGCCTCCCTAGGAGGAGGGTGGTCATGGGGGGACAACTGCCAAGGGAGGCCCACATCAATTTCTGACAATTTACGGCAGTTTTCGGCGTTGCCCGTAAATTGCCCCAAACCTGAAATTCCACGACAATTGTACAAATACAGTGCCGCATACTGCCGAAAATCCCACTTTTCATGCAGTGATTGTTTTGTAGAAAGTCTCATAATTGATTCGCGACGGATTTCTCAAGGATCTTAGAGAGGAAGGGAAGATTAGAGATAGGTCTGTAGTTAGCCAACACCTCTGGAGCAAGAGTAGGTTTCTTAAGAAGAGGTTTAATTACAGCTACCTTGAAGGACTGTGGTACATGTCCTGTCAACAAAGACAGATTCATAATATCTAATAAGGAAGTGCTAACTAAAGGAAAAACTTCCTTAAGCAGCTTGGTCGGAATTGGATCCAAGAGACAAGTAGAAGATTTAGACTTTGAAAATAAAGAAGTCAGTTGATCAATGTTGATGGAAGAGAAGGCATCCAAACAGGCATCAGGGCCCACTGCTGCATCCAAGGTTCCTACATCAGAGGACAGGTCGGCACTGGTTGAAGGCAGGAGACCATCAATTTTCTCTTTGATAGTCAGAATCTTATCATTGAAGAAGTTCATGAAGTCGTTACTAGTGAGGTCCAAAGGAATACACGGCTCGACAGAGCTGTGACTCTCTGTCAGTCGGGCTACAGTGCTGAAGAGAAACCTGGAGTTGTTTTTATTTTTCTCTATTAATGATGAGTAATAAGATTGCGTTACGGAGAGTCTTGCGTTACGGAGAGCCTTCTTATACGTTTTAAGGCTGTCTCGCCAAACTAGCCTAGATCCTTCTGATTTGGTGGAACGCCATAATCGTTCAAGTTTCCGAACAGTTTGCTTTAGGTTCTGTGTTTGAGGGTTATACCACGGAGCAGACTTCCTTCTTGTTGCTATTCTTCTTTCCAGAGGAGCAATAGCGTCCAGCGCCGCTCTCAAAGAGCCTGTAGCAGTATCGACAAAATTATCGATCTGGGACGGACTGAGGTTCTCACAGGAGTCTTCTTGTATCTTGAGGCAGGGCACTGAATTTAGAGCAGAAGGAATGGCTTCTTTAAATAAGGCTACAGCGGTATCCGATAAGCGTCGACTGTAGAAACCCTTGGCAGGAGGAGGTGGTTCTGATAGTAGAAATTCAAAGGTTATCAGACAATGGTCCGACAGGAGAGGGTTCTGTGGAAAAATTGTTAAATGTTCAATCCCAATCCCATACACAAGAACCAAGTCGAGAGTGTGGTTAAAACAGTGAGTTGGTTTATTTACACACTAACAGAAACCAATTGAATCTAACAATGAAAGGAATGCAGTACTAAGGCTGTTGTTGTCGACATCCACATGAATGTTAAAGTCACCCACAATAATTACCTTGTCCGTTTTAAGGACCAAACTCGTTAAGAACTGTGAAAATTCAGAAAGAAATTCTGAATAAGGACCTGGGGCCCTGTACACTATTACAAAGAGAACCGGCTGGATTGTTTTCCAGTTCGGTTGCGAAAGACTGAAAACCAGGCTTTCAAATGAGTTATAATCCACCTTAGGTTTAAAGTTTATTAAAAGGCAGGAGTCATAAATAGCTGCCACTCCCCCCCCTCGGCCTGTGCCTCGGGGGATATGAGTATTAACATGACTCGGAGGAGTCGCTTCATTTAAACCAAAATATTCCCCATTCAACAACCACGTTTCAGTAAGACAAAATACATCAACATGGTGATCTGATATTAGTTCATTTACCAAAACAGCTTTAGATGACAGAGATCTGATATTAAAAAGACCCCCTTTAATTCTCCTATTTTGTTGCACTATTGCATTATTAGTTTTAACTTTAATTAAGTTATTTACTACAACTCCTAGGTTGTTTACCTTTAACTTAGATAACTGTGTCCGTGGGGCAGACAAGGTCTCTATAGGGTTCATTATGCTGAGTGACTGCTCAGATCGAAGCGCAGAGAAGTGTGTAAGACTGCGACTCTGCTCCCTGGTCTCTGGGTCATGGATTAAGTCCACTAAGAAACTGGGTCAGGTTCTTAGAAAGAAGTTCAGCTCTGTCCAAAGTGGGATGGATGCCGTCCCTCCTAATCAGACCAGGCTCTCTCCAAAACGTCTTCCAGTGATCAACGAAGCCCACATTATTTACTGGGCACCACCTCGACAACCAGCGGCGGAATGACGACATGCGGCTATACATGTCGTCACTTGTCAAGTTTGGGAGGGGTCCAGAGAAAACTACGGTGTCCGACATTGTTTTAGCGTATGTACACACCGATTCCACATTAACTTTAGTGACCTCCGAGCAACGTAATCGGGAGTCATTACCGCCGACATGTATTACAATCTTACTGTATTTACGTTTATCCTTAGCCAGCAGTTTAAGATAAGACTCAATGTCGCCCGCTCTGGCCCCCGGTATACACGTAACTTGGTCCCTGGTTTCGCTAACTTCACGTTCCTCAGAATGGAGCTACCTATCACCAGAGTTGGTTTCTCAGCGGGTTTGTCGCCGAGTGGGGAGAAGCGGTTTGAAACGTGAAGTGGTTTGTGGTTAACCGTGTGCTTCGACTTAGACTTATGCTTACTCCGGACAGTCACCCAGCCTCCCGGCTCCTCGGGGGTTGCCGGGGGACCGCTAGCAGGAACGAACGATACGTCTATGTGGCCCGCACCGGCTACGGGGGTGGGCTGGGTAACTACAGCGGCTAACGGCTGAGCTTCCATGGTGCGGAGCCGCTCACTAAGCCTCGCCTCCAATTTATCAAATATACTACACTTCTTACATGTACCATTATCCGTAAGGGAGGCAGAGGAATAGCTAAACGTGTGACACAACGAGCAAGAAAGAGCAAGAGAGGTAGGGAGGGAAGACATCACCAGGTTAGCTGCTAAGCTAATGCTAACGCTAATAGAAGTAACGTTGCAACAACGTCCAATCAACTATTTGATGGAGCGAAAATTTGCTAGACAGCGAGGCGTTTAACAGCGCCTCACATAGATAAGAATTCACTGTTTGTGATGAAAAGTTCGATGACATCAAACACGCTGGCAACAGGAAGTGACGCAACACGCTTACCGTCAGAGTTCAATATTGTTGTGCTTTTTCGTTCATTTAATGCTAAATGTAAAAAAACTGCGCAGGATTTTAGAATGTGCGACATTTTACAAATGGCACCCCGTAGTTAGCAGACCAATCGCAGCCTTGTGCGCTGCGGGAGGCTTGCGTCGCTTTTGTTACGGTCTTTCTTTTTTTTCAGCGATCACCACATGTTTGTTGTTTTGTTCACACTGCATATGATTTATAAAGTGTAGGAAAAGCAAATGATTAGCTCCTTACCCATTTTTCATGTAGAAATGTCAGAATATCTGGGTTGATGACAAAAAAGTGAAATGCCTTTTGTTGGCTCTTTATTCAACAATTGTCCTTTCATTTTCATACAAACTTGGTTGAAAGTTAACTTTACTTCAAGTGAGAAACAGAACTGTGTGTAATTAAAAGAAAAATGCATCTCAGTCCCCTCAGAGAGTTCACTGTATGGACATGATGTACTGTATTGGTTAGCGAGGAAATGTATGACATTTTACCTGTTGTTATCGATTGATAAGGTTGTTTTTGTGTGATAAGTGAAGTTATTTCATAACATTCTACTTTCAGTAGTTACATATTTACTTGAGCTTCTCATAATTAAATTAACAATGTCTGGAAACTAATATTTGGAGATGGCATTGTAAATTTACTGCAAAAGAAAAGAAGGCTGGTAACTTTCTTAAATTCAATTACATTATATTTTGTATAGCCCAAAATTGTAAATTACATATTTGCCTCAGGGCTTTACAGTCCTTTAAAGTTGGTACAATTTCATCACAATGTATGATGCTTGTATGATGAATATGAATGTTATTCATCATAAAGGCAGGAGTGTATCATTCAAAAAATAAGGATTTCTCCAAAAATGATTTCTGAGTGCTATTATTTCTGCATGTGTGTGAAGCAAGCATGCTAACATTACAAGGATGGCTGTCCTGGGTTCAGCTCTGTTTGGATACATGTAGCTGGAATGAGGATGAATGCATAAATGCAAATACAGGCTGAAGAAAGAAAAAATATCCTGTTAGCGGCAAAATTGGCCAGACAAAAAGCAATCAATTATATACATATATAAGTTTCCCCCAAGATGCTGCAGAGCCACAATACTAGAAAATAATGAGGACAATGAGAATAATTTTGTTACAAACTGTATGATTACAGTCAGACACACCAAAATACTGAGAATCTTATTCTTAGTATTTACTAGGCAGATTCTCCTGATGCATTTCAGCATTATTCAACAGTTGAGACACCTCAAAAGTTTTGATAAATATCCTCATCTTCTCCATAAATGTCGACAGTTGCTTCAACCAATTGCTGGGTCACATTTTCATAATCAGCTTCATCATCACTGGTTTCTTCATCTTGGTCAGAATCATGATCTTCATCGTTGTTAATCTCTGACTCATCATCATAATACTCCTCATCCACTCTCTCTGCTTCCTTTTTGGGTTTCTTGGTGTGCACTGGATCAACGTTCTCATACACATCCTCATCGTCCCCATTCGTGTTATTTTCATAATCGTTGTTGACCCGGAGAGACACTGCAACACAAGCAGAAACACAAACATCAGGACAGAATGTCTCATGAATATCAGAAGGGATTCTGGACAAGAATTGAAAAACGAACAATGTATGAACATTACAAACAGGTTCGGCCCTACACACACTAACTGGTGCTAATTGGGTAATCTAAAAATATTACATGAACATAAACAGTCCTATATCCTAACCCAAATTTGTATTATATATCAATATAGTCCCTGTATCTTGTGGATGACATGAAACACAGACGTTGCTTATTCAGCAGCAATATGAAGAAGATAGACTATCATGATGATACCAGTCCATGTGAATACGGACTTGATGTTCCGTGTGTCCTGGTGAGCACCTACATTGAGTTTGGACGAGGTCAATAGGCTGCTCGGCTCGTCTCTTTCTCTTGCAGACCAGACAGACCCCCACCAAGACCAGCAGGAGCAGCAGCGGACCCACGACAGCTACTGAGGAAACCAGCGGCAACAAAGACACTAGGAGAGAAAAACCTGGAACAGTTAGTCCTGAATCCCTTTTCCGTTCTCCAGGTGGAATAAGTCCTTCATCCAAGCAGGAAAAACATGGAAGCAGGAGGTCATGGTGAAAGAGAACAGCTCACACAGCCAAATGGACAGAACATACAAACGGGGAATTGAGTCGAATATCAAAGGTGGTTTGTTCACATGTGTTAAACAGTGTGGGAAAATTGAGATGTTGTGTAAAATTCTAAAACTAACTTTCTACTTCTACCAAAATAAGTTTCATATTTTGCACTATAAAAAAAATACATCTGAAATAAGATCTAACTATGGTGGCCCTGAAGTGCAAAACACAATAGCAAATAGGAAAAGACAACAAAATTAACTTCTTACAGAAAGGGTAGGGCCTTATAGCAGATAGCAGAGGACGGACCCTTCTGATGTATAAAGCAATAAAAACATGGCGGGAACCTGCGGTGCTGTATATAATCATGTGGACATTATAATAGAGCTTAAAATGTATATGTTGGTTAGAACACAGGTGTCAAACTTAAGGCCCGCGGGCCGCATTCGGCCCGCCAGGGGGGTCCAGTGTGGCCTGGCGGAGGACTTTGCTATTGTAAGACATAGATTGCATTTCTATAAAAGTAGTTGTTCTTGATATAACTACATCACCTGTTCACACACCTGCCTTTGATCACTAATCCATCCATCCATCATCAAACCACTTATCCTGCACACAGGGTCGCGGGGGGGGCTGGAGTCTATACCACCCATCTTCGGGCGAGAGACAGAGTACACCCTGGACTGGTCGCCAGCCAATCGCAGGGCTACACAGAGACATACAACTATTCACACTCACATTCATACACCTACGGGCAATTTAGTGTCCTTGATCACTAATCAAATCCCTATTTAGTCTCCTGCCTCACACACACACTTTGCCAGATTGTTCTTCCGCTTTCATGCCAGACTCTCCAGCACTGCTGTTCAGACGGATCTCCTGTTGCCGACGCTGCCTGTCTCTGTTTGACCCGCTAGCCCGACTCCCAGTGAACCTACCAGCCCTTTGTCTTATCGTTACTCTGCCTGCTGTTCAAAGATCGCTGGGGTTGTGTGATTCCATTTGGGTCCACACACAAACCATTACAATATATGCATTTATGATATGGATTCACTTCCAATATACAACAATAAAAAACATGAGGGCAACCTGCAGTAATGTATATCATCATGTCGAAAGGGTCATAAAACACTGGCTGATGTAACTACAAGTAATTATAATGGTGATGATAGTGGAAACAATGACATTGTTACATGGTCTCATGTCTCCTTGTTACTTCTCAGACCACATATCCTTGTTCTACTTGCGGTCAGGCCTTTACTGCCCGCTGACGTGTCTCCTCCCACTTCCCTTATCTGTCCCGTCACACCAGCTATTCTTGAAAAAACAACTTCCTCCTTCTCTACCTGCTGCACTCTCTTATTCAGAGGCCTAATAATATTTCACTTTAGCGTTGGAGGCCCGGTTCATTTCTATAAAAGTTTGACTCCTGAGTATCTAATTAAGATAAAATGACCAATACCATCTGTGTATCTTAAGCATCCATGGGCCATTGAGGAAGCACACTAACTATTCCTTTAACCCCGAAACCCAGCCATCAACCCAGGCTCATTATCAGGCTCATTCACATAAAAAGAAGGAAAATAAATGTGAATTCAGATTGAAGAACCAAAAACAAAACAAAATATCTGCTTTTCAATGGACACTAAGCACACACTGCTCATCCTGTTGAAACCTCCTGTAGATTAGAACTCCGATTTGTTATTTGGTGTAATGCCAGACAAACGTCACTTTCTAGTCTATTTGCCATCACATACTCAGTGGATTAATCCACTATCAGTTCCTTTATAAAACTATCATTGGTAAAATCCCCACATACCTCCAGCTACTCCTCATCTCCAACAGTGCTGTTACCGTGCTCGTTCTAAAGGACTGCCCCTACTTCGGCTGTTTCTGAGTCTAGTTTGCTGCTCCAGACGTCATTATTGCAAAAGGAGTTAAAACTTCACACTCATATTATGTTACCCTCCTTTCATAACTCACTACAAATATCTCCCCTTTTCTGAGGACCACATCTGCTTAACGTGCTTAAAGATTCTCTTCCCAATGTAAGTGTATGCGAAGAAGTCTTTCTGGGAACCACAGAATCAAGTCACGACCCAGAAGTTGTAATTCTTCAGTTTGGTCATGCTGTAAAATTAGTTTCGAAGCCAAAACACTCTTCTTCATGCTTGGATATAATAAGTAATGGACAACACTGCATGCTTAAAAAATGTCACGTGTTTTGTCTGGAAGATAATCTTCATTGGCGTGAAACGTCATCATGTTATGTGCATTTACATTATTATTATTATTATTATTACATTCATATCCCACGCAGCTCATTATTTATCTTTCCAACGCTGCATTTTTATTGTAAATCAGTGGTTGTGCTGATTATGTAGCTACACACAGTCGTGGCCACCATCACTCAGCTGGTGTTCCTAAAATATAGAAGTTTACTCTAAATTCGTCACTCACTTTTGATGATGACAGTAATCGTGGCTGTCTTGTTGGAAGTGAACCTCCGTGCAGACAGTGTGACTTCGTACACACACATGTAGTTCCCCAGGTGCTCATACTCGGCCGACAGGAAGTCAAAGGAGGCTGAGTGGTTGACTGCTGGTTTGGTGTCGTTGAGGCCGGAGCCGGAGGACACGAGAGAGAAAACACCTCCGGGATACTGGGAGGAAATGGAGCAGGTGAAGACAAAGCTGTAACCCCTGGTGACCTGTGCACCTTCAGGGCCCCAAACCAGCCCTTTGTTAGGAGACGTCAGGGAGATGCTGGGCTGCTGCAGCGGCACTGAGTACAAAAGGGACAACAGATTTCAGCATTATTCATTATCCTCGGTTTAAAAAAAGAGATCCATTACATGTTAACTTACGGACAAGAAAACAGAAGAAGGACTATTGCATTTCTTTCAAGTTATTAATAACTTACCAAAAGTGCAATTATACTGTAAACCTAATTTAAAATTGACAATAACTCCTTTATGAAACCTTTTTTATTTGTTTTGTCACATTATTCTATTTATTCATCAATGTTTCTTACCAGTAACAGAGAGTCTGACAGAGTCACTTAAGGGGGAGGTGAAGTCTCGACCTGAAACCCTCGTCTGATACTGACACTGGTATGATCCTTCACCTCCGAAGTCCACTTGCAAGATGTTGAAGGTAGCAGAGTTGGTACTTGATGCTTCCGTCTTTCTGAATGAGCCTGAGGTCTGCTGCAGAGTGAACGTTCCACCTAAATGCTGAGTTGAGATGGAACAAGTGATGGAGGCGTCCTGACCCCATGTGACCTCACCAACAGGACTCATGGAGATGTTGGGCTTTGGGAGGCTGACTGAAAACAATAACACAATGTTAGAAGGAGGAATAAATGGACTTTGAGGTGACGTATAATTTCATGAAAATGAAAGTTAACCATTTCAGGAAATACTTTTAATTGCTTGATTTGAAAATATCATTGATTTCCATGAAAATATAACATAGAAAATATTTCAATAAAAAAATGATAAAATGTTGTTATATAGTTCATAAGCAGCATTTCACACATCAAACCTAATAGCATGCTGCAGGTTGTGGTTACCAGCACTTTACTTGGTGCTGCTCCCAAAAGGCTCATCACAAAGCACAACGACCAGAGCTGTTAGAATTGATCACCTGAACAGACAACGCCGGCGTCCTCACTGTGTTTACAGTTGTGTGTTCCAAATCCTCTGTGCTTACACTCCGTTAGATCCCTCTCAGTTCCTGAACAGCTCACATCATCGAGCCAGATTGATCCGGTTCCTTCACCAAAGTGGGCTGACTGATGAGCACTCAGTGCCGTACCACAGTCCAACTGTCTGCACACTACATCAGCATGCTTTAAGTCCCAGATGTCATCACACACTGTTCCCCAAGCACTGTTGTAATAGATTTCCACCCTTCCAGAGCAATGAGTTGATCCAGTCCCAACTAATCTGATCTGACCATCTATCGGAAACATAAGACACAACATAACAAACAAGTTGATTTATTTACAAAGAACATTAACTGAAAAGTATCACATTTTATTCATCCCAGCGTTGAACTAACTGACCTGCAGCAGATGAAGTTATGGACAAGAGAAAATACACTGTAGAGACAAAAGACAATTTGTCTCATTACATTCAGAAAGCTGAAAGGTGCAGGAATACAAGTTTGCCTTGTTGTGTTTCGGATTCACTTCATAATTCATAAAAATAGTTAAACTGCGGTTTTCATTAAAACAAATATTTTTTTAAATTTTCATTAACTTTGAGAATAAGTCTTACCAGTGACCCAATAGTGAAGGTTTCTCTGTTGGATGAACTCCATGGCTGAAACGTTCCTTAGTGACAGAGCAGACGACAGAAAACTGAAGTCAAAACCGCGATGTGCAAAATAACGCCTCACTGCTCAGTCCTTCCTCTTTATTACCGCCATTTCGGTCACTTGGGGCAGAAAAAAAGCTCAAAACCATACAATGCAACATATTCTATATGTACCAAGGCCACACATCTATAGCTGACTGCCTCTTACAGGGAAGTCAAACAGAGGGTTGTAACACGGTGACAGATTAGTGGGTGTGTGAGGTCCTGCATGTGGAGTTTTTAATTCCACAAAGGGGGCTTGTTTTTAACTGGCTAGATTGCCATCTTGTGCACACTGACCTGCTACAGAAAAAGCTATGGTCAGAGTTTCTCATTAACATCTCTTCAACATGCAGCTTTCCCAGATGAGCGCAATCCTGCGTACGTGCATTAAAGTAGTCCTCAATGAAAAGCCGACGAAGTCAACAAAGGGATCGATCCCTTGAGAATTGGAATATCAAAGCAGCAAGGAATCTGAAATGCTAAAAGCGTATGCTTTTTTTTGTTTTTGCATATATTATTTTTGTAGATATGCACAAACTGCTACACAGGAATCAATATCTTTGATACATCTTTGACAAATTCAGCAAAAACCAGTTAGAGGGAATTTCCAAACACAAAAATAGATTGTTACTGAATTACCCTGCGGGTTTATATTCAGATTAAGATGTGAAGTGATGAAACAGCCACTAGGTCTGTATTATTCTGAGCTTCTAAAAAAAAGAATTTGTGCGCAGGGACTTCTCTGGCGTTACATTGTTGGACAATTTCAAACGATATTGTCAGGAACGGGGCAGACAAAGGCAGGAGCCAAACGCAGACAACAAAAACTACTTTAATAAACCCCAAAAAACACCAGAGGAGAAAGAACGCAGGCAGGGAACAGGTAAGGCGTTCACGGTTGAACATTCATACATTTAATAACGCGACATGGGACAAAAGACACACAGGGCTTAAATACACTGGGAAGGTGCAGGTGATTGGACACAGGTGGAAACAATCAGAGACACGGCAGACAATCACAGGGGAAGACAGGACCAGGCAGGAAGTGAAGTTAACCCAGGGACACAAGAGGCAGGAAACTACAAAATAAAACAGGAAACAAATCCAAATCGTGACAGATATTGCATTACATTACATTACATTACATTACATTACAGGTCATTTAGCAGACGCTTTTATCCAAAGCGACTTACATTACATTTTAAACCCATGGCTTTGCATTTTTGCCCAGGGAGCATTTAGGGGTTAGGTGCCTTGCTCAGGGACACTTCGACTTGAGACATGGGGCAGCCGGGACTCGAACCTCCAACCTTGTGCTTCAGAGTGCACCCGCTCTACCCCCTGCGTTAGGATTCTGATCATATTTAACATTTCCTGGTCCTAATTTCAGATGTGAGTGGTTACGTCCTTAAAGAGTTGTGCTTTGTCTTTCATGGACGCGTCACGTTCCTGCTTCCATCTGGTAAAGGTAGAACTATTTGTCATTACTTTATAGTGATGAGCTTGTGGATAAATTAAGTCCTATCTTATCAACCTTTAACAATACACTCAATTACTTTGAATCTAAAAAGTAAGTAATTGAATGAGTCTTCAATAGAGTATAAGTACAACAAGAGTACTCCAAAATAGTACACCAGTAAAATATATGTGACCAAATGGACACTTAAAATACTTAATAATAATATCCAGACGTGACAACGCCACTCTCTTTGAGGGGAGAGACCCTGAACTCAATTATCTTACTGGCCAAAAACCCCATACAAGGTAGATCATAGACAGGCAGAGGCTTCGGCGTGTACAGTGCAATATCACTTTTATTAAAACAATAACTTTATAAAAACACATCCAAATAATTTATACCAGTAGTGATTGACCGGGGGCAACAATGACACTTCCAACAATAAAAACACTGCACACTGTTAAGAAAGGCTAAAATAACCAACACACACAAATACGATTAATGATCCTGGTTAAAAGACACAACACAATAAAAGTGTGGAAGGGGGAAGCAACGGTCATCAAAAAGGCACAATATCAGTTTGTTATTTCTATAAAGAGAGAGAGCAAGATGGAGGCACTAGAGCATAATCTAAAACTATGTTTGGAGAAAAAGAGCAGTGGCTGCCCTGCTGACCACTCCGTGTCACCAGTTCAGCCTCCTAGGCCCAAGGCCCAAGACTCTGGGCTCACCAGGTCTGGTCCAGGTCTGACCTTCTCCTTAGTATAGTTTGCTCACCCACACGGTACTGGCGAGCAACAAACAGAGCAACCTAGACTTCAGCACATGCCGGACAACGAGAACAACCGTGAGTTGCTCAACTCTCACGTGATCTCCTTTCTATGGAGAGGCTCCCCTTGAGTTTAAGCCTCCCGCTCTGTGCTGAGGCTCCCAGGTCCTAAGGTCCCACCCTCACATACACTTACTACCTCAAAGATACGACACAAATGGCCATCAATTGCACATTTAAGATCCTTTAAACAACCTTTCAACCAATAATTAAGTATTCACCGGGCTACTGCTGACTAATTCCAATCAGGACAAACAAGTCAGACAAAGATGTGTTTATTATTAGCAGATGATATGTGATGACAAAGTCTTCCCTCATGTGTTCTCCGTACACCAGTTTAGTGCTGTATGTGCCGACATGTCAAACGACACTTGGTCTGAGCAACAGATACTTACGCTACATGCATTAAAAAAACAACTTCATAACTGCTTCTAGATAAATTGAGGGAGATTTGGTACAGATACAGAGAGATGTTGTGGTTTGCTGCTCACTTACACATCTTGTGAGTATTGCATGGAAGAAAAGAGGAATGAATGTTTTAGCAGAACAAACATCAGAAACTAAACCACATCCTTTTCTCTTACCCGATTAAAGAAAACACTGGTTCCTCCTCAAATGCATTTCACACATCTCTCTTGGACGGCTGCAGCATTAAATACGGAACTAAACAAGGCGAGACATTTGCAGGTCTCAGCAGATTGAATTAAATTATATTTACTTTTGAATATTTAAATATATGATGATGTAGGGAAGTAGTTTAACTCTTTCCAGTTTCTAAATCTGTTAGTTTTGTGATTTGAAGCTGCACAGCGGGACACAGAGCGAGTGGAGTTGCAACACTGTCCATGCAACTATAACGGATCAATAAAACGTTTGTCCCAGATGGCTTGATGTTTGAGTTTTAGTTTACTTCTTCAAATCACTAATTAATCAGCATTCCTTTTCAAGTAATCTCGGGAGAGAAGAACTACAACTTCCAACACACATTTTGGTCGACAGACTTTATTTCCATTAATAAATATATATACTGTATATATGGTCATCTATATGGTATAGAGCAAATATATGTCAGTCATAAAATAATTAGGCAAAATATCTCAATGGATCAAATTGATCAGAGTTGTTATACAGTCATTTTTATATTACATCAAGAATCAGGAATATCACACTGCATTAGCGTTATACAGGTTTCATAAAGTAAGAGGAGGTTGGATACAGTAACAACAATTAAACAGTTAATATTTTACTGGATAGGGCTACATTACACACACACACACACACACCTACCGTTTGTCTTCTTGTTACCCAAACATCAATAGGCCGATAATCAGTGTGGTAGTCCTCGTACAGTTAAATGGACAAACATCACTATAAATTAATTTGCTGATGTACCTGAACCTCTTCTGTGTGTCGACATTAATAATGATTAACCTCATAGTATTTTATGTATATAATATAGTGATCAATGAGGCTACATTCTGTAGGATAGTTGACCTCATTAGAACTTGACATAGTATTTAATATCTAATAAACAGTGATCATGGAGGCTACAGTTCGATAGGCGACATCGTTAGGGATTAAATTAGGTTGAAGCAGCTTATGGTTGTAATGCATTTATTGTAAGTCGCTTTGGATAAAAGCGTCTGCTAAACAACATGTAATGTAATGTAATATGATGCAGGAATCAACGGTGATACAGTTAGATTTACATTTTCTAACAATGAAATATATAGAAACATTTGTATTTATTATTATAATTCAGAGCTTCAGAGTCCCTTTGAAGCTAACGTCCTGCTGCCGGTTTAGAGTCTCGATGACGGTCCTCATGTCCTTTGATTAAAAATCGTTACTTTTAATGCACACGCTGCACTCTGTGGATACCGACACAACGTTAAAGTTCAATTTAAACATTGGAAGTTATGAATATAAACTCTGTCCTCAAACAGACGTAACGTTACCGGTGAACAACATCAGTCTTTGACACCACGTTAAAAGTTATGAACACCCAGTTATATGACATTATATCTGATGTATAACCGCTACGGAGACGTGAATACCAGCGCAGCATTTCACAGAAGAGGTGATCCCTGAAACCAGGATTTCTTAACAGTATAACGGCAGATAAACTTAAAGGAAGAGCGAATTTTTTCTCCGCTGACGAACAGGAAATGATCAACACATGTGATGAGATAATATGTTAATTTGAATCATTTCTGTCTGATGAATTTAACATGTTATACATATTTTACGTTGTTCATTCTGTACGTCCATCGCAGTCTGTCCGTCCCGGTGAGGATCGTCCTCTGTCTCTCTAAAGGTTTCTTCCCTTTATTCTCCCCATCAAATACTTTTTCATTGTTTGGGGAGTTTTCTGGTGCCGATGTGAGGGTTTCTGGACAGAGGATGTCACATGTGTACAGACTGTAAAGACACATGAGGCTAATTTGCGATATTGTGCGATACAAAATCAAATAAAATGAATCATATAATCATGGCAAAAACTGACACCGCCCCCCTGCGAGGCTACAAGCACACAAGTTAACGTTAAATGCGTGTTGGGAAAATGTAACGGCTCATTTTAAGTGCCTCATCACTCTAATCAAGCAGATGATATTTCTTTAAATGTGCCTGCTTGCAGGAGGCTTCATGGATGCTCATCATCCAATGAGAATAATGATCTCAATTCTTTCAGAGTATGTAGATGAAAACAAGCCCAAAGAATCAAATTGATACGAGTGAATAGGATATATGTACTGTATCAGCTTATGTATCATATGTATGTGTAGATGACCATATAGAACTAGCAGTTTTATTATGTGTGTGTGAATGTGTGTGTGAGAATCATTATGTATCCATTGTTCATAATCAGACATTTGATCACGAAGAGCACGACATGCAGCGGCTTTCCAGATGTTCTCTGCATCGC